AGCGAGTTATTCACTACGAGTATCTTCAATGGCATTGAATAACTCATGTCCATGTACCAGTTCATATTTGGTTACCTGAAGCTCATGTAGAAACACCCACAGCTGGATCTGTTATCTTAGCGGGAATTCTCTTAAAATTGGGAACTTACGAGTCTTTGCAGCAAGTTCTTCACTACAAGTATCTTCAACGGCGTTGAATAAGTCGTGTCCGTCTCGTTGTGGACTTCTGTGTGTGTGCTGTTTGTGTGCTGTGTGTGTGATGTCTGTGTGCTGTGTGTGTGTGTGTGTGTGTGTGTGTGCGTGCTGTGTCTTGTGTGTGCTGTGTGCCGTGTGCTATGTATTGTGTGCTGTGTGTGTGGTGTGTGTGTGTGCTGTGTATGCTGCATGTGCTGTGTGTGTGTTTTGTGTGTGTGCTGTGTGTCTGCTATGTGTGTGCTATATGTGTGTGCTGTGTTTGTGTTGTGTGTGCTGTGTGTGTGCTGTGTGTAATTTGTGTGTGTGCTATGTGCTATGTGTTTGCTATGTGTTATGTGTATGTGTGCTGTGTGTGTGCCGGGTGCATGCTGTGTGTGTGCTGTGTGTGCGCTTTGTGCGTGCTGTGCGTGTGCTGTGTGTGTGTGCCCACCCTCTCCCCAGAGCGCACCCCACCCCACCCCACCCTACCCTACACCACCGCACCCCTCCCGACCAAAAATAAAAAACACCCTGGATTCTGGCCCCTCTCTCCAAGCGCAGGAACCCCCCACCCAAAAAAAAAAAAGGGTAATTTTCTGGGTTAAAATCCGGACCGCCCGGCGGCCTGGCCTTCGTCCAGTAGGGCTCCCAGGCGGCCCAGCCGGTTGGGTCACCCGGTTGGGCGCCGGGTGGGCACAGCGCAATTTCGCGCGCCGGGGGGGGGGGGCAGCCTTTTTCAGCCAGTGGCGGCGTCCCCAGCCGCCTAGTGCTTGAATTTTTCTTTTTTTAACGACTTTCAGTCACTTTCTAAGTTTCTAGGCTGGGGGGCTACGATCCACATTCAAATTCGAACGGGGGATTGTCCTCCCTGCCGATGAAGTTCTAAGCCCCACCGTCGTCATCGAGCTGCCTGACGTCATTGACCTGCCCGTCACCATCGACCTGCCCCTGGCCCATCGTCATCAAGCTTCCCCTGCCCAGTCGTCATTCAGGTGCCCTCCATGGGTAGCCGACGACCTCCTCCTCCTCACTCGGTGCTCGCATCGCGCCGTCAGTCTTCGAGCTGCCACAACGTCGTCGACCTGCCCATTGTCGAGGTGCCAGCCTCCTCCTCCTCCTCGTGCAGAGTTCCCATCACGCCGCCCGTCGTCGTCCTGCTACGTAGTCCTCGATCTGCCCATGATCGAGGTGACGACGACCTCCTCCTCCTCGCGTGCAGGCGACCTCCTTGTCCTCTCGTCTTCTTCTTCTTCTTCACTCCTCCTCCTCTCGTCTCCTTCTTCTCTCCTCCTCATTTCGTTTTTTTTCTCTTCTCTCTTCCTCCTCCTCCTCCTCCTCCTCCTCCTCCTCCTCTCCTCTTCTTCTTCTCTCCTCCTCATTTCGTCTTCTCCTTTTCTCTCCTCATTTTGTCTTCTTCTTCTCTCCTCCTCCTCTCATCTTCGTTTTCTTCTCCTCCTCATTTCGTCTTCTTGTTTTCCCTCCTCCTCCTACATCGGCCTTCTTTTTTTTTTTCTTTTTCATCGCCAGACACAACCGGCACCTCCTCCTCCTCCTCTGGTCTCCTTCTCCTCCTCTCCTCCTCTTTCTCCTCCTCATTTCGACTTCTCGTCTCTCCTCCTCTCGTCTTCTTCTTCTTCTCTCCTCCTCCTCCTCTCGTCTTCTTCTTCTTCACTTCTCTTCCTCCTCATTTCGTCTTCTTCTTTTCTCTCCTTCCTCTCCTACTCTCGTCTTCTTGTTCTTTTCTCCTCCTCATTTCGTCTTCTCTTCTCTCGTCCCCCCCCTCCTGCTCTCGTCTTCTTCTTCTCTTCTCTCCTCCTCATTTCGTCGTCTTCTTTCCTCTCCTCCTCCCCTCCTCCTCCTCTCTTCTTCTTTTTCTCTCCTCCTCCTCCTCCTCCTCCTCCTCTCATCTTCTTCTTCGCTCCTCTTCCTCATCATCCTCGCTTCGTCTTCTTTTCTCTCCTCCTCCTCCTCCTCTCGTCCTCTCCTTCTTCTCTCCTCCTCATTTCGTCTTCTTCTTTTCTCTCTTCCTCCTCTTCCTCCTCTCGTCTTCTTCTTGTTCTTTCCTCCTCCTCTCGTCTTCTTCTTCTCCTCTCCTCCTCCTCATTTCGTCTTCTTGTTTCCCCCCCCCCTCCTCCACCGGCCTTTTTTTTTTTCCGCGTCATCACCAGACAATCGGCAGCTCCTAGTCGTCGTCCTCCTCTTGTCATCTTCTTCTTCACTCCTCTTCCTCATCCTCCTCATTTCGTCTTCTTTTCTCTCCCCCTCCTCCTCCTCCTCTCATCTTCTTCTTCACTCCTCTTCATCATCCTCCTCATTTCGTCTTCTTTTCTCTCTTTTTCCTCCTCGTCCTCCTCTCGTCTTCTTCTTCTTCTCTCCTCCTCGTCCTCCTCCTCTCATCTTCTTCTTCTTCTCCCCCCCTCCTCCGCATTTCGTCCTCTTGTTTTCCCTCCTCCATCGGCCTTTTTTTTTCCCCCTCGTCATCGCCAGACAATCGGCAGCTCCTCCTCCTCCTCCTCTTGTCTTCTTCTGCTCCTCCTCTTCCTCCTCTTCCTCCTCTTCCTCCTCATTTCGTCTTCTTCTCTTCTCTTCTCTTCTCTTCTCTTCTCCTTTTCTCTTCCTCCTCCTCCTCCTCCT